TAGACAGGCAGCGTGTGACCCTGTCCAACCGTCACAGTCAAGCTTCGCAAACGCGGCAAAAACCCATCAACTCTGCTAAACTTGAGAGTCGATCCCAGTTCGGAGTCATCAGACGTAACCTGCAACCCCAACGAAATCAAACAGATCCTTTTCGACCTGCATTCATCGATGGGTCGTCATGATCCTGACGACCAGCGTTTTAACGTCGAACACCTTAAAGCGGTTCAACAAGTAGTTGAATCTACCTCACCTACGGAGAGCGGGCCTAACTTCTGTGAACGCAATGTATCAGCAGAGGAAATCGAAACAGCGCTTGGTCTTTTGCAGAACAACAAAGCCGTTGGGTTGGACACCGTCTTCAACGAGGCGCTGAAGGCTGGGGGCGTAGTTTTGGTAAGTGCCCTGCAAGCACTTTTCAATTCCATCTGGGACCATGCAGTAGTCCCAACAATTTGGCGCAGCTCAGCAATCCACCTGATCTTCAAAGAAAACGGAGCAGATCCCTTAGATGCCAAGGCTTATTGCCCCATATCTCTGACCTCTTGCGTTGAAAAACTTTATGAACGCATCAAACTCAATAGACTTACTGAGCACTGCGAATCCACCGGCGTGATTTGTGAAGAACAAGCTGGCTTTCGTCCAGACCGTGCTACTAGGGATCAAACATACATACTTCGTGAAGTTACAGACGGCCGGACAGCAAAGAACCTGAAGTCGATACTTAGCTTTGTCGACCTTACTAATGCTTTCCCTAGTGCCTGGCATGATGGAATGTGGTTCCGTCTTTTAGAGTGTGGAATCAAAGGGAAAATGTATCGCATCATTCGGGCAATGTACCAATCCTGCCAGTCTGCAATTCAAACACCTTTTGGACTTACGGACTGGCTTACATCCAATCTTGGAACTCGGCAAGGGTCTGTACTTTCTCCATTTCTTTTCTCGCTTTTGATTTCCCCCTTGGCAACCCACTTGAAGGAAAAAGGCTTTGGCGTAGCAATTGGAGGCACTTTAATTGCGTGTCTGTTGTACGCAGACGACATTGTTCTCATTGCTGAGAGCGAAACTCAGATGCGTGCAATGATGCACGAAGCAACGGCGTTTTTCAAAAAATGGCGCTTTACTGTTAGTGGAAAAAAGACTGAGATTGTATCATGCGAATTTCGTGAGGCTGGCACAATCGTCTCTGGAGCATTGGCAACGAAACCATTAAAGAAGTGGCGTCTTATAAGTACTTAGGCCTTTACTTTGAAAAGAAGATGCACTGGAAAAAAATGTTGTCAGTAAACCTTGAAAAGTCGAATAAAGCTTACAAGCAGTTGTATCAGATTGGCTACGGTGATTCTGGGCTTCAAGTGGGGGAATCTGCTGCTCTTTGGGCGCTTTTTTCTCGGCCTAAACTCCTTTACGGGGCTGAAGTCTGGTCCATTCGGACCAAAAAACTTCTTGAGAACTTTGAAAGCGCCCAGGCGCAAGCTGCAAGGCGTGTTTTTGGCAAGCAAGGCAATGCTTCGGTCATTTCTAAAGCCCTTCTGGGCGACCTTGGCTGGTTGTCAGTTTTCTCACACATTGCAGAGGCAAAGCTAAACTTTTTTGGCCATTTGTGCAGGCTTAACGACAACCGTCTTCTCAAAACAGTATTTCTGACCAGCAAGTCTGAGTTTCAAAATAAGTGCCAACTTGCTCAGAAAACATGGATCGATGACAAGTCTTGGCACTCGGAGGTCTCCAAACTTTTTGCAACACTTCAAATTCCGCATCTGAACGACGTCGCTTATGCAGGTTCTCCTACAAAAGCCCAGTGGAAGAAGTTAGTCCGCGCTGCTGTCTCTCAACACGATCGGGCTTCCTGGCTTACGAATCTGAGTCGCACAAATTCCGGTGAGCACTACAGACTTATCAAACGTACCTATGGCAGAGAGGCTTACATATTTGAACATGATCGACGTTCGACAACCTTAAAGTTTTACCTAAGGTCCCGCTCGTTTGGCCTCCGTAGTCGTATCCATCACGGCGTTGGCTCTGCAGAAGCAAAGAAGTGCCAATTATGCAGGGCAAGAGTTCTTGAAGACGAGGCCCATTACTTGCTAGACTGCGACGCTTTTTCTGAGACACGCCAGGACTTCGCCTACACTTTGAGAGCTGAACTGTTTGTCGGATTTCCTACGGAGTTTTCAGACATCGTAAATGCTTCTCATACACTTCAAATGGCATACCTACTTGGCAGAACGGAGGACCGTTTGCCACCCAGATGTCGCAACAATTATCGACAAATTGATCAGACCTTTTTTGATTACCTTAGCAGATACGAGGAAAGCCCTTACCCGATCTCAACGACTTACCTGATGATTTAATCTTTATTTTCCACAGGCGCAATGGGAAAAGCAAAGTCCAAGCCCGCTCTGCTCAACAAGGGCGCTGCAGAGGACGTGCAAGACCCCGCAGGGGAGAACAAGGGAGCGGCCAATGAAGACTTACCCATCCTCCCAAAGGGGCAGGACGGCGCAAGCAAAGGCGGGGTCTTGGGCTCAACTTCTGCGGCGGTGGAAGCAGGCAAGGGGGTCTCGCAGCTGTCCATGCTCCTTGGAAAGCCGGTTCTGAAAGCGCCGCTTGGCGGCTTGGCGCTGGAGGGTTCCGACCTTGGGGACGGAAAGAGGGGCCGGGAGGAAGAAGAGACCCCGGCAGTTCTAAACCGTCCCCCCACCCGACAAGAAGCCCAAGAAAGCCCCCCTTAACCCTAGCTCGGTGCGAGCGATTGTTCGAGAGGAAGCCGAGCTAAAGAGAGCAGCGCACCGGGCGGACTTGGAAGAGGTCCTCGAAGCGGCGCTCTCTAGCAAGGAGTTTCGGCGGACAACTTTTCGTGAAGAGGTGCGATGAGTCCTTGGGTTTGGGCCTACAGAAACCTTTCAAGAAGCCGTGGGCTCGATTTATACAGAGGCTTTGCGGACGGGGCTCACGGATGCGCTTAGGGCTGTCAGCAACAGGGCGGGTTTCCCTGGCGAATCCCTTCGCACAGACCCAGTTGTTGTCGCCAGATGGTCATCCCTGGAAACTCGGAGCCTGGAGAGCCTCGAGAAACTGGTCAAGTCAAAGGCGGATGAGGATACCCTCCGCGGAGCCAAAAACGCCCTCTTCGACGTAAAGAGCGCGGCGGAAAACCTAAAGGTGGGCAACACGAACCTCGAGCAAAAGCTGGACCACATTCGTAGCATGTTGGCAGCCCTACCCCACCCCCAGCCCCAGGCAATGATGCAGCCATTCGCCCCACACCCCAGTTATAACAACCCCTGGCAGCAGCAACCCATCGGAGGCGGCTCAAACGGAATGGCCCCCGGAGCGCAGTTTAACCCAACCCCGACTGCCCCCTTGCCCACACAAGCAGCCCCGGCCGGTTTAGGGGCTGAACAGAACGGCCCCAACCTGTCCCGAAGCAACGGCCCCCAAGCAGCGCCCCAACAGAACCGAAGGGCATACGACAACGACTTCCCAAAAACCCAGCTTTTGGCAATCCGGACCTTGAACGTGGAGCGAAGCCTGCCCCACTCTAGCCAGGGTATGCAAAGCCTGCTCCGCAAAGCTGACTACCCAGAGAACGCCATCAACGCTGCTGAGAGCTACATCCCGCTCAAGAACAACAAGGTTGGGCCGTCGGAAACCATCCTGACTTTCAAGGTGTGCTTTCCAAGCGCCGGCCTTCGTGCTGGTTTCTTTGAACTGGCGCAGAACCCCCAGGTCGCTAAGGCGTTGAAGCTGTTGGATATCAGCATCGAGGAGTGGAAGGACAAGAGCGATATTCTGCTAGAACGGCAGATGCGCTACAGCGCAAACATCGCAAGGGGGGCAGAAAACGAGTTGGCCGCGCAGTTCAATAAGACGGCCTCAACCTTTACTGGATTCAAGTAGGTGGCAATGTGCAGTGTAACTAGCAAGGCTCAAAGTACTTAAGTCCACAGAATGTTTGCGCGAAATTCGGAATAACATGACATAGTCCACCATGCATTTGACTTGCAAATAAGCTTGCGGACAAGCAAAGAATGATACTTGATCGCGGCTCAAGACGAAGTATGTCGACTAGCATGTATACGCATGTACAAACACGCTGCATGTACTTTCTTCGACACATGGCGGCGGTCCGCAGTGACTGAGGGTATACGGCTATACTATATGAAACCATCTATCCACAAGCGCATGGCTTACCAGTATCCCGAAGCGAGGGGCCAGCGTCCCTGCCGTCGGATCGATGCTGCTTGTCAGCTGAGCTATTGCGCAGATCTTTCATGCAAGCCCAATTCCCATCACAGCGACCACAATGACTTAGGCCCCTCACATGTGCGAGGTGCCATCTTTTGATGCCACTGCTCAGGGTACTAGCATGGACATGTCACACGACGCTTCCCCGAGAACGACGGACTGGACCTGACCGAAGACTGAAGCATAGCAGCCGCGCGGGCCGTCTCGAGTAGCCGCCGCAGTGACAGTATTAGTTTTCATCTTCTCAATGGAAACTCAGCGAACTTGCCGGCCGCTTCACGGCAATCAGATAGTGCACTCGCAGTAATGGTTGAACGGTTCTTTGGTTGCTAGGTCCGTAGTTGTCGAGAAGCTGTTGTCAGAACATGTCCTTGCGAACAGCACTAACAATGCCCTGTACCCGCACTCCGCCCCATGCCAGGCTTTGATTCGCACGGGCTATAAGAGAAGTATCCATCCACTGCCAGACAGCTGCAGCAACATCCTGGTGACATGCATGTCGGATTTGAACCATTGACCTTCAACGACTCTTACTGTGGGCGTGGATTTGACCGTCGATGTCCGAACGACTGCCAGTACCGCTCTTCAAAACCGCCCGATGTTCCAATGTTCCAACCAGGGATTCCCATAGGCGGGCTTTAGTGGCGATCTCAGCCGGTTGGAGAGGAGGACCAGCCGGTGCCGAAGGCGCCCTGCCGGCTTGCAGCCGGTAGAAACCATACCCCATGCACCGGCTGGTTGCTTGCACCAAAGCAGAGCGGAGGCACTTGAGGTTGAACTTTGTCCTTTCGCAAAAGAAGCTGCGCTGCTGAAACTTAAAGTCTTCGCTCTGGCGGCCAATACTGCAACTCACCAACCGGTTTGATGCGACTTGTGCAGCGTCCTGGTTACTCTTCTGAAGCCTCTCCAGTTGTGCCTGCCGGCGGGGGAAATTACGTCGTTGTATCCAACTTGATCGGTCACACAAAGGAACCCTTGTCCCTTCACCATGGCGAAGTAGAAAGAGACGGTCTCCACGGACGTCCGAGGCGACAAGCTGGACATCATGCCCCTGGGCGCCGGCTATGAGGTCGGGCGCTCGAGCGTGTTCATGACGTTCCAAGGGGAAGAACATTCTGGTGAGACTTCTAAAGAGTGATTGAGCTTTGGAATACGAAACTGTGGAAAACTTTTTCATCGGTGTTTTCCTTTTTCTGGCTTTGTTGCTTGAGGGTCTATTCTGGTCGTAGATTCTGAAGGTCGAATCTTTTTCTGCCACCTTCGTGGTGGCGTCTCGTTTGTGTTGTGGAGCACGGGGCTCTCTGGTTTCTGGCTCAAGCTGCCATTCGTTGATTTCCATGTGGGACAGACAGGGCGTGGGTTACGGGGACAGCTTGACACATTTCAGGCCCCCTGCCCATACATGGTATGTGCGGAATGAATGGAAGACAATATTTGGTGGTTTGAAGGCCAATCCCAGGGGGTGGAGGCGTTGCAGCATCACTTGAGCGCGGCTTCTGTCTGTCAGTGGCATCAATGAGGCTTCCAAAGAAGTGCCACGAGAGGCCCGCTCGCGGACAACGTTGAATCGTTGACTTCTCATCAACCCTGAGGATAAGGTTGTTGGGACCCTGCTTATGCACAGTAAAGGCACAGTTACATGTCTCCGCCAGTTCCAATCAGTCTGAAGGACATGGCTAATGAGGCCAGAATGCTAGACAGCAAAGTGGAACCATGCTTGATGCCCCTCAAGAGGAACCAGGCATCTGTATTGCATTCATCTTTTTTGCTCACTTCAGTCCTCTTGCTCGCACCAACACTCCGCTCCTTTTGCTGTGCAGTTTGATTGCGGGATCCACCCCGCCTACTCGGGCCTGGCGGCCCTGCCTTTCGTCGACGAGATCGACCTCAGCACCGTCGACATCCTGCTTGTCACACAGTGAGTGTAGAAGCTTTCAAATGTTTTCCAAGGGCAACCGAACAACGAGCACGGTTGGACTGAGCTTGTGGACTGATTCAACAAGCTTGTGATGATTCACGTCATTGTGCCATTTCAATTAGTTTGAGAGCAAGCTTTCTAGCAGAGGAGTTTGGGACAGTTGATTGGCATATGCAGGCGTCTCGGCAAGTCGCTTGGAAAGGTCAGAGAGGCTGTACAGAGTGTCTTGTCACCCAACCGACGGCCCTTGGCCTTGCAACACCCCTGTTTCAACCAGTTGTACTGCTCCTGTGCAGCTTTCACTTGGACCATGCTGCATCGCTGCCTTACGTCACAGAGAAGGTAAGTGCCTCGATAGGCTGAAAAATTATCATTCTTGGAAATACTTATCAGTTTCCGTCGCATGGGCCATGTGTTTCCTTCTCAGCATCTAATCCTGATGCGGTGACGTTGCCAGAAAGCGATTGTCAATAAAGCTCTCTACATTAGGCCTGCTGGGAAATGTGGCCAGAGGGGACGTGTCTTGCCGCTTTCCCTTCGAACAGTTATTTTCATTTATGGGACGGACATGGGTCGGTCTCAAAAGCGAAACCGATTAACGTTCAGGTGAACGGCCCGCGGACAGGACCAAGCAGCTGTAAAGAGAATTGCCAAGAAAAGCAGGAAGTGAGCATGCACTGAGATGTGAAGGAGCAGTTCCTGCTCATTTATCAAGTCTCAAATTCGAGAATTCGACGGCAGAGGAGAACTTGAAGCGCGCTCTGCTGTTTGTGGTTTTAGATGTTTAGTTGAAGAAGTGCTTCCTTTGGAGTAAACGAGTTCTCAGCATTGGCATTCCCTTGCCGACCCATTGACACCGCCGCGCTCTTTGCTGCCTTGTTGTAGTCTGCGTTCAAGGGCAAGGTGTACATGACGCATGAGCAAGAATGAGCAGAAGCATTCCCGCAGAGGGCGGCCCCCCGGAGGAGGGTGGGGCCCCGGCAAAAGGTCCTGAAAGGAGAGAGTCTGGTCGGAGACGGGCTGCAGGCAAGGTGGCCGCTGTACCTGGGGGCGATGCAGGGGTGGAGCGAACAGAAACACGGAGAGGGCGCGGGCCTAGAGGGGGGGGCACAAGGAGGACGGGTGCGCCGACGAGGCCCGCCGCGGCTGTAGAAAAGTCCGCGGGGCGCAAGCGGAAGGCACGGGGGACAAGGGGACCGTCTGACGATGGTGCTGAGGAAGATGAGTTTGTTGAGGAGCTTGACGGGTTGGGGCGGCTTGACGGGGAAGAAGACGCAAGGACGCATCAGCAGTCGGAGTCCAAAAACGAAGAGGATGAAGAGGGAGAAGAGGAGGAAGAAGGAGATGATGAGGAGGGCGGGGAAGAAGAAGAGACCGAGGAAGAGACCGATGATTTTGATGAATCCGGGGGTGGTGGTGATCCTACAGACGAAGACGAGGGGGCAGGCGAGGAGGAGGCGGAGGGCAAGCGCAAGACGCGCATCTTTGAGGTGGTGCACTGGGCGCTGCGCAGCATTGTCAAGATGGGCATGTGCACGCTGGTGGAGGCCATCGGGCTGTGGCAGCTGCAGGCGTCAGGCGCGTCGGCCATCCTGACGGGGCAGAAGGAGACGGCGCCGGGGGGACAGAGCTGCCGGCTGCTCAAGGGGAGCGACGTCTTCCACGAGCATGCGCCGCTGGCTGGCAATGAGGAGCAGATGGCGCAGGACGGGACGCCGGAGTGGAGGATCAAGCCCGAGCAGGAAGAGGGGGTGCTCTGCTACTTGAAGACCGCCGACCACGTCGACAAGACGTCGAAGTGGATCGACAGGCTGATGCGGTGGAACCACGTGGCTCTGAAGCCGTTGCGCAAGGTGGTGTGCGGGGGCCTAGTAGTGCTGCCGGGGCCGGTGGCATTGGACCTGCGGGGAGCGGTGCCGACTGCGTACGCAATGCCGGACAGCACCAAGAAGGCGCGGCTAGCGTTCCTCCAGAGTATCGCGGCGCGCAACGGGGAGCTGGGTGATGGGCATGCCCGCAGCGAGCTGGCGTTCATTTACGAGTTCAAGCACCCGAGCCCGCCGTTTCAGGTGCAGGACTTCGTGGACAGAGCGGCGGTGGAGAGGGGCATGCAGCCGTTCCGGGAGCTCCTGCGGCAGCTCAAAATCAGCTTGGACGACGAGAGGTTTCTGCTCAAGGTGCGATTGTGTTCTCTATCTCTGACCAGCGTTGCGCCAGGTTGTACAGCTCTGTATCTGAAAATTTTCTGCAATGCCTGCACCTTTGTCGCAGTTTCAGATTTGGATGTATGCGCGCAAAAACTCTTGTTCTTTTGAGGGGTGTACCGATTAGCTTCTAAGATTTTCATTGTGCAAGGCCTGCTGATCATTTGCATACTCAAGCGTTGGGGCGTTCACAGCGCATCAACTGTTGTCAGAAGCTCATCTCTTTCCTGTTTGGCTTGAGCCTGTCAACTTTAAGTATTTTCATAAGGCGCCAGAAAGGCCTCTGTGATTTTGAAGAACGAAGCCAGTGCAAGGCGTCACGTATCTTTCTCAAGCTGGTCTCCAGATTGATATTGATGTCTCATATACAACTGTTGCTTTTGGCCCTTCAACAATTGACAGAAGAAACTCGACCATGACTTTTCCACAGAGTGGTGAACAGCCTATATCCCCTGCTTTGATATAGGGTCTGTGCACGGACTTGATGGATTTGTCCACTTTCGTTGCCCGTTTCATGCCAGTTTGTTCTGCGTGCAGTGGCTGGTGCTGGCCGTGAGGCGCAAGGAGGTGCCGGCTCTGATGGTGCAGAGCCCCATCCTAAGCAGGCTCCTGCTTTACACCTTCATCTCCCCAGGTTGGTCCTCTCTTAGGTTGGTCCTCTCTTTCCTACCTTTCCACAAGAAGGTTGCAAACATATCTTTCGGTTCGAGGCAACTGCAGTCGGGCTTTGCAGACAACCATGCAAAGCCTGTACATATGCAGTAGAAATGAAGAGATGGTCGCATAGGGCCTGGTGGACGCCAGGGATTGGAACCTTCCGACTTGCTCGTTCGCCTTATTCCAAATTATGGAGTCCACTATGTACGGATTGGTCAACCTTGAAGTGCAGGAAGCTTTAGGAGACACGAACCCCCAGGTCTTGGTGGTAGAAGCTTCCTAAGTCTCGGAATCGTTGCTTTTGCAATTTGTCTTGGGCGACTGGTCTCAACCTTCTGGTTTCAAGCTTGCGTCAGGTCAATCAAAAGGAGGCGGTTGAGAAAGTGTGCGATTCAGCCGTCTCACCACCACTTACACAATGTTCTCACGATTCGGGCGCGCTTCATGTGATTACTGAGATGCTGACCCGCAAACTGGTTCTCGTGCCTGCAGCCGCAGTGTGCAACCTGAAGATGCACGAGGCGCTGCCCGCGCACAGTCCGTCTGCGCTGTCGTACGTGGCCATCAAGTGCAGCGATGTCGGCGCGACGCTGCACACGACCAGCCCGCTGTGCAATGTGCTCGAGCAGCGCCAGGCCAGGCACGAGCTGTTCGAAAGAAACGAGGTCGGCTCCCCCGCACCACCCATACTGCTGGACTGCGCGCCCGGCCACATCCCAGCCCTGGCGGCAGGGGCAGGGATCGGCACCGTCCGAGTGGTCCGCAGCGGCCTCGATGCAGCGGGGTACCGGAAGGTGGGCACCATGTCGCTGGCGCCGATTTGAGAAATCTGAGATTGAGGCTAGGCTTGATGTATACTGAGAAAGGCTCAGGTACGTGTTGGCTTGGTGGCTTCGTGATGGCTTCTGGAGACAAGTCCTTCAAGATTTAACGGCTTCATGTCGTCTTAAAATGCTTGACCAGTTCAGGCTGTATGTAATCGGTTATTTCTTATCGTCAGGCAACAGCACCCGACTCCGTTTGACCCAAGAGGCTCGCATCCGAAAACCTGAAAGAGTTCCTGATTTGAGGACACTTGTGCCTGCTCCATTGGTTCGATCAACTCATTTCACGGGCCTGCCGGACAGAACAGTGCCACAGATTTTTGAGTTCACACATTGAAGCGCAGACTCATAGAACTTTCGCCTATGTTGCAAGGTGTCGTATCCTGCAAATAGCAAGTCGGCAGATTCGATGCCGAGCCCTCTTGATTCAACTCCTCTTCTGTGTTCAGGTCGACGACAAGTACCAATGGGACCCCGTCAACCGAGCGGCCGTACAGCGCTCCATCGTGTTTGCCGCAATTCGCGGAGCGCAGCTGCTCCAGTCGGACAAGGGCCTCCTGATGGAGCCGAAGAGCCCGCCCTTGCTGAGCGAGCTGGGGCCCCACGCGGGGAAGGTCCTCAAGCCGCGGCTGCCCTTCAAGAAGGACACCTTCCGACAGGTGCTGCTCGCTGTGCTGGTGAGTCCGGGCTGGCATTCTACGTCTGGTTGCTTCGCCGGTTGAGCGCGCTTGCGGGCAATTGTGGATCTTACAGAAATGCAGCGAAGCCTTGCGGGTCTCCAAAATTTCGCAAGTTTTGTCGCTGTCGTGTAGTGGACCCTGGCTATTTTGTGGAAGAAATTGCGACCGTCTCCCCCCGGTCTTTGTTTTTGTAAATGTGCGGACAGCGTTGCTTCAAAACCTGCTATGCCGGCAGAATGTGTTCAGGTTCGACCCAATCACCAAGTAACGATTTCTCATATGTACAATCTGGACAACTTTATCGAATCAAGACTCAGGGCTCTTCGTTGTCCTCTGGGGAGTAAGTCGAGAAACAGGTCTTGCTGCTCTGGGTAGGTCAGGTCTTGAGGCAGGATGACTCGAGTCTTGCAAAGTCAATTTCGCGCCAAGAGAATCTCAAAAAGACGAGTATCCGAAAGATTCGCAAATGGTGCAGCGTGTGCGCAGTTTTGAAGGTGAACCATTACAGTAGTCATTCCTCTGAAAGTTTTCTGCCCAATAGATTTCTAAGTTAGCCCTGGAGTTACATCTCCTTTTTGAACCAGCATCGAGGCCGTCCTTGCATTGGGGCTGTCCTTGCGATGCCAACCAATAGGTAAGGTCCAACTGGTGCGGGCGCATGCTCTACTAGTGTCTCAAACTGACACCGTTGCTCTTTTCGGTGTGCAGGAGAGCATCGAACACACCGACATCATCGCCTACGACTCCACGGACAGCAAGGGCGTCGACTTGCGCATGCTGTGCACGGTGGTGTTCCTGCTGTGGGCGCCCCTCAAGTGGAAAACTTTTTGCGAGGAGAAGAAGCGATGGCGAGACCTGTTTGACGAGGTGGCAGAAGAGGCCGCAAAACGGGGCCGCGCGGACATTGTACGCGAGCGAATGTTCCAAGCCGGGCAGAGGGGCAGCCCCCTAGGCAAGAGGATCGAGGCGTTGGGGTCATGCTCGGTCTATGACGCCGTAGCAAGCCCCGACCACCTAGCCGAACAGTCGGGGGGCCAGCGGATCTTGCGCATGCAGATAGTGGCCGACGAACTAGAGGCCATTTTTCCGGAGGAGACCCTTGAAAGGTACCGCACTTGTTTAGAGGGCGAATGCAGCGATGGAGATGGGCAGCGCCACCTCCGAGACTTGTGCGCTTTGAAGCACCGCCTGGCGCGCAGAAAGGCAATGAGAGAGAGTCCGCTGGCTCTGTTCACAAGCTTGAAGGAGAAGCTTGAAGCTCGATTTGTAGAAGAGTTCCCCAATGAAGAGATTCCGTTTGAGGAGACCAACGAAACTGCTGACGGGGTAGAGAAATATGTCAAGCGACTGACAGACGACATCTTGCGTTTGAGACAGAGGGCCGCAACACAAGCGGAGGGGTGATAGAAAGGGAACATGTTAGAGGATGCCTTCTATAAAATCGTGTTGAGAGCTAGGGGCCCCAGAAAGCTAGATTATGTGACGTCGTTTTACGAATTCGCTCGAGGAGCTCGCAATACGTAGGCTCGGTCTCCGTGTTTGAATCTGCGCGGGCTTTGTGTTGCAAATAAATGCTTGTCGACGTTCTAAAATCAGGTGCTTCATCACAAAACACCCCCCCCCCCGACTTCTGCATGGAACGCATACGAAGCTCGAGCCGGTAGAACCTCGAACGGGCGCCATGCATGGAAGTTTCGATCGGCGTCCACACGATACCGGCATGGAGATCAGACAGTCGGTTTTCGAATGAAATCCGGCCAAGAGCTCGCATGGAAACCAGACGAAACATTCGTATGGAGACCGAACACAACTTTATATGGAAGTCGTGTTTGAAAACCATGCGGAATCTGGATGATTTCCATGCACATGACTACCGTCCGGAATCCAAATTGAAATTGGTTCTGGCCGGAAACTACGGCCTTCTCACATCGTATCCAAATTCAAGGTTTCTGCACGATAACCATGCCGAAACCAATCCTAGACTAATATTTATGCATGCTTTCAATTGTCAATGATGCACAGGAGTGTCAAAAACGTTGCACCTCTTGGAATTCGTACTTGATGAACCACATGCACACTCCAACTCGGAATTGATAGCTTCGTGCAATTCAACTTAAGGATTGACACCTTCTCAATTCATCGTCAACAACACAAAGGTAGGCTACACAGCGTCCTGGGGTACAAAGTAGCACCAACGTCCACGGCACGGTTGCATGCCAGCATCGAAATTGGAAGGGAAAGTCCGCGGCTGGTGGAAGACCGCCGCCGCCAGAGCTTTCTTGTCCCAAGTGAAACATGATGCCTGCATTGTAAGACCGAGAGGAGCGTGACTTAACAGGCTCGACTCTAGCGAACACGTCTGGAAAAGAAGCAGGGCGAACTCACTGAGCCAGAAAAGCAAGGGCCTTGCCTTGAAATAGCGGCCCTTGCGTTGGAAAAACATAGTTTTCATCAAGCCTTCCGCACTCAAGAGACTCAAGGACGCATAAAGATGCGGACGCAGGTGGGCAGTGTCTTTCTTGTGCTCTCATAATGTCTTTGTACCAGACCAAGCTTCAGTACCGGCTGTTCCAAGGATAAAAAGGAAAACTCGGAACAGCGAAGTCCAAAGAAGGAAGTTGGAGACACCGAGACTAAAGGAAGTGCACACTCCAAAACGACCATAGAGCGTTGCTAGCCTGTCGAGCCCGCCCGCCCCATCCTGTCCGGAAATTCAAAGGGGTCCTAAGCTAGCGGCTCGTAAGTCTGCCAGACGTCCAACAAACTGCCACGTGTCAGCCCACGGTAACTGTCCCTTGGGGCCTTTCGGTTCGATGGTAGATTGAACCAAACGGAACCCGCCGAACAGGAACCACAGCGGCGAAAGTCCAACAGTATCGCCTCACCTCCGCACCGTTGCCTGCGCGCGCGGCCGCGGCTCGCGCGCGACCCTTGCTTCCGCACTGCGACGAGCTGTTCATGGATCGACCATGCCGTGGCTGCAAAAGCGCGCCCCAAGTCAGGACTTTTACAAGTTGGCTTCGGGTGACGAGTCAATAATTCTGAAAGACTGTCAGCCATCACTTTCAGAGTGATGGTGGTTTCGGATCCCACGACCTGTGCAATGACAGCAAACGGTGCTATGCAGAGTCTCATCCGAAGCGTCGGTTGACGTTTACTGCCTTTTAAGTCGACGTTCTTTCAAGACGAAGTCGAAGTTAACCGATCAGGAATGATTTAAATTCTGAGATCCGAGGATGACTTGACCAGAATTTGTTCGGTTTCGGAGAGCCACTTTCCGATGTCCACCTCACCCTCCTTGCGTGCAGGTTTGCATCGCTGACCGTGCGACCAAGCATCACACATGTTGGCATCATCTAGCACACAAGACAGAGATGGCAGCATCGTTGACAAAATCGGAAGCTGAATTTCCACGGCCGACTGGGACTGACCTAGAGGCGCTGCACGCTGTTTGTCGCCAGTCGCTTGATTAGCTCCGTCATGGGCCGCCACATCAGCAGGGCTCTCCTAGTAACTCCGGCCTGCAATCCAGGAGAAAGAACGTGTTCAATCTGTGCAGCTCAAGAGACTATATTCCGTACCGCTCGAGCTGGCGTCCGGGTAAGTCGGTCTGTCCGCATTCAAACTTGTTGAACATTACACATATACGAAAGGCAGCCAGCGGTATGCCTATTTCGTTTTTCCAGTGAGGCCGCATCTCTTGCCTCTTCGCCTTCTGCAACCGGGCCCCGCACATGTGACGTCATACTCGTTTCGACCGACCAAGGATTTAGTTAGCAGATTGCACAAGGCATCTCCTGGAACTTCCATCGGACGACAACGTAGCTGCAGGAGTCGGAAAGGATTCTCACGGACGGACTAATCGAACAATTGGAACTCGCTTCCTACAAGTTGACCGTGGTCCCCTCCGAATAAACATCAATTTGGGGGGAAAGCAAAACACGGTTTGCCTGGCCGACATCTCACCGCAGTAGCGTCGTGTACTACAGCCTTGACGAATCAGATGCACGTCAGGTCGATGACACGTGGCCCGCCCCCGAGCTCCTCCAGCAGCGCATACGCGCACCGCGCGGTCGAACGTGTCGTGCAGCTTGGAGCCGGAAGAAGAAGGCTTCGCTCGTGCGCTTGCAGTCGTGGATGACCTGCACAATAGGGGCTGTCCTTTAACGGAAGGCTCTTGCAGTAAAGCAGTCTCTGAGCTCATAACGATCGGTAACAAAGCGGTTCTGAGACAGCAGAGACAACAAGTGAAGGACGGACCAGAGACGAGCCAGGAACAGCCAGGTATTGAAGGTGGTGAGAACCTGTCAGATGTGGTCAGAGTTTCGGACAAAATAATCAGTGTTCGGATGTGTCGATGGTTTTGCCGAAGGAGCTAGCGCTGAGGGAAAGACAGGCACACAATGGCCAGGAGTCTACGCTGAGGTACGAGGGATATTTCGAATTTCAAACCCGGAAGGTCTGGTCTAAAGACGATTTGCCGGGTGGGGATTCCGAGCTTGCAACTAAATCAGTGATCGACTCGCAATAACGCCCGAAGCCCTGCATAATCCACCAGAAGAGGTGCAAGCCCAAGCGAAAACTTCGTGGGGTCTCGAAATCAGTCGACCGGATTCCTCCTGAGTGCTTCGATAACCTCATTTTCCTGGTTAGGTCGGCGCGCTTTCATCATGCACGTAAGGAAGGGAGGAGGGCCCTCACCGGCGCATGCACGTGCTCGAAGTTGTTGGCTTGCTTGAATTAACCAGTGGCGTCAACACTTGCTTGAGCAGGCGAGCAGGCAAGAGATGCAACATGCTGTACACGTTTGCAACGCGTTGTATACCTGCAGAGGAGGAGTAGAAACCATAGCTTCGTATTCCTAGAACTGAACTGTTAAAAGTTGCCATACACGAAGGGAAGAGACGAAACTGCACTGTCCTACAGATTCGTCTTTAGAGTTGAATTGGGCCTTGAGATTTTACCAAAAAGCTGGTGCCGCAAGAGGCCTCCTCGCCTCGGTGCTTGAAAACATTGGAAGAAGCACGGCGACAGATTCAAACCTAAAGAGCTACACAACAAGGAGCGACATTTAGGTCACGCGTTCGCTTTCCAAGTTGGTTCCGCTCAAAGATTTTTCCGTTAAAGGAAAAGCGCCCAAGTAGGAAGACGATGCATGTCTGCAGAACCCACAGAATTTGATGACGCGTGTCAAGTACGTACCTCGGGGCTGATGTCTGGTGGCTCATCCATGGCGGAAGCAGCTGGTTGCTTTTGTCGAGGTGGACGGCCTACATCTACAGAAAGGTGATGAGCTCCGTTGGCAAAAGTTTTCCTTCCTCGGAACCGGATATATAGAGGTGCGCAAATGAAGAACTTCGGAGGACCAGCTACAGAGGAGGTGTCCGACTATGACGACATCAGAAGAAGCCGAGTCTCTTATCGTTTGGACCGATAGCACATCTACACAGTAACGTTCGGGCTTCAAGCCATCCCTCGAGAAAGAGATTCGGCAGTCTTCCAGATCCCAGGTCAACGAGAAAGGCTGACGATCCTGCTGCATCTTTTCAAAATAGATCGATCTGAAGACCCCCTCTACCATCAGCGTTTTGAATGTTGAAAAAAGACGGCCTTACCAGGGTGTGTACTGAAACAGGAACCGGTTGACGAAGAAGATCTCGGGCAGGTCGTTGCGCGGCACGACGTGCACGGCGCGGAGCACGTTGGTGGTGTCGACCAGCCTGTACTCACCGCCGCGCGCCATGCCCTCCCACTTCAGCTGCACCCACTTGGTGAGCTTGTCGATGGCGGGCAGCTCTTGTAGTAGTGCACCAGCGCCATCTCGTGGCACTGTTGCTGCCCGAGGGCGGGGCCTTCCACGGTGCAGCTCAGGAAGAGCCGCACCTGGGCGCGAAGGTCCACAAGGGCCAGTCCCTTGGCCTCTCCCTGAAGCGCGATGTTGCTGTCTAAGGGCCGTCCGTGGAAGCTCGGAACGGCCCTGGCGTACATGGGGCGGGAATCGGATCGGTTGTTGTCATTGGTTGGCAGGGGGAGGGCACTGTGAACGGTCACCTGCAAAGGACGCGGACTGTCTCATTTGCGCATTCCACATTGACATGCTGCTCAACCAGACGAGGAGTGGGGCGAAGTTAAACAGAGAGCAGGAGAGTAGACTCGGCTTCAAACTTGTTCCACAGTCTATGAGCAGGCAACACTTCTTCTTACCAACAATGTCGACACAGGACGAGTGGCCCTCATTGCTGAATCACAATCTAAAAGACAATCTGTCTAAACACATCGTGCTAACAGAATCCTCTGACCACAGATGCTCATTCCAAAAACCTTGACAAAAAGTACCCAAGGGCTATTTCACTATGCTAACATGCAAGAAAGATCGCAGCGAAACAATTTGGTAACTGCTTTGGCATGGCTGCTCCTCAATCAGAATACCCCCAACAAGCTCAATATGCAATGCTGTTGCATGAAATTTGCAGCTTAGAATAAACTTCTTACACAATTTAGTGAAAGCACTTTGGTATGTTTGTACAAGACGCCTTCTTAAAGGCAGGACATGTTGATGGAAGCCAGCTCAGCTGGTGTTACGCCCAAGCGCCAGTCCAGCATTGGTGCCAGATTATTTAGGGGAGATATCAGTGATGTGCATGATGCATTTTCAGCATTAGCAAGCGAAGATGGTGGAAATTATTAACCAAGGGAGGAAAGCTGTTTGTCGACTTACGTTGCATTCTTCATGAAGAGCACCCGATTCTCAATCTACTTCAGCGCAGCCAACGTGCGAGCTTTTTTACATCAAGGTCTTGGAAGAAGAGCAGAAACATGAGGCTTGTCATGTCTTGTTCGCTGACCCCCAACGTTGTTCCGGCACTGATGCAACTGCAGGACCTTGAGCGTCTTCCGGTTCTAATCGTCCAGCTCCGATAACCTGGTCCTTTTCAAATCCTCTACTGGATCTGAGAAACTAAGATTTAGAACAGCCAGGGCCAGCGCTTTGCGCTTGATCGGCATCTTCAATGGTGGCGCGTGTGTTGCCAATGCCATGCATCCCGGCCATGCTTTCTGTGTTTCTGACATTGAACGTGACTTGAACTTGAACTTGAAGTTGAAGCCTGGCCAAGCATTTTGCAAGCATTTTGAAGATGCCATGATTTTTTTTTTTGGATTGTAATATTCTGGCCGCAAGCAGCTCATCATATGGAGACTGCTGACTGGCATACGCGATTCCGCGAGTTCCCTTTCGTGGTCTACGTGGTGCTATGTGTTGTGTCTTCAATGCTTGGTATAAGCGTCTGTCCGATTTGATACGCGATGGCTTTGAGATTGGTATGACAAGTGGCATCGATCAGTTTTGTGACTTGGCAGGAGCCTGCATGGGCATCTGGGCCTGAGTGCGGTTACACGCCCTCAGTCCAGGGTGCTGGTTGCTTTCAAGCTGGCTGCATTGGCGTTGCTTAGCATAATTTACGTTTTGGATGGCATTGGTGCCATATCGGGCTTGGGACCTAGGGACTGTATGGCTTACGTGCCCGAAGGCCTTTGACTTTAGACGTTTCTTTGCTGCAGCCTTCAGAGCCCCTTCAGAGCTATCTCTATCATGTATGGAGGGAGTTTGCGTTTTCCCGCTGCGGGAGCAGTAAGGGGTTTGGGTAGGGGTTGTCCAGTCTGAGCTGTAGGGCTCTCATCAGGTTCGCCTAGTTTGCCCTTGGGTTGGTTGCACATTTGGTTGAGGGTGGGCTCGTTGGTGCCTGGGTCAGCTTGCATTTTGGCAGGTGAGTTCTGCTCTGGCATGGCATTGGTTTTCTGCTTTTTTTGCGGTGGTTTCAGGATTGGAGAGTCCAAGATTTGTAAGGTTGATCTTTCATTGCTTGCTTGTGTGGCATTGGATTGGGCAAGAGAGTTGGTTTGAGAGCAGTTGCTGGTTTCTGAAAGGGGGATCAGGGCATCATAATGGTTGACTGAGTGGAGCAGGTGTATCGCTCCTTGATGGGCCGTGTCAGGATTGTGATTCATGAGAAACCCGTGGGCCTTGGAGCGGCTGGACCATATCAGTATTGGGACCTGGTAGATTTCTGCAGCGGCCATAGCTTCTAAGTCTGAACCCCATTTTCTATCTTGGAGCATGTACTGTGCATAGTCCCTGGATGTTTTGAAGGGCTCAGTGGTGAGCAGCGGGAAGTCTGGCGACTCTCTATGTATGAGATTGCAGTATTTCTTGTAACGGTCCCATTGTTTTGTGATATGGTCCACACAGTTGCGTCTCAAGGCTGCATGGTTGCTATCATCAGCTTTTGTGGCTCGTAGAAAGGCTCTGTATAGACAGTTGCGATCCCCGGCGACGTTGGATCTGTGCAGGAGATTTTTGAAGTGGGGGTCTTGGGTTCTGAATATTGGGTGAATTAATCTTTGGCTTTTCATCCCAATGTTTCCCTTGTCCATCGTTGGGGCAGCTACTGATCTTGTTTGTACTTTGTGCAGCTGCTTCGAAGCTTCAGCAGTAGGGCAGTGTTGCGGTCCAGGGGCTCCTGTTGCTGTGGGGCTGGTCTTGGCTCGTGGCTGTGTTGAGGTAGGATTCTGGTTATTGGGTTCAATGTCTTTCTCAGTTTTGGCTCTTTTTGATTGCCTTGTATGCGGCCACTGAACATCTGGGGCGTTCTGTGGGTGGCACTGAGGCTGAGATTGCAGATTTGCCCAGGCTTCTGCAAAAAAGATGTAGTCATCTTCGGTGAGTTCCTGTACTGGTTTTTGTACAGGGAAGATTTTCATTCTATTAAAGAATAAGAGCTTCTTTAGTTTCGCTTCGTTGCACCTGTTGTGCCATATCTTTTGAAAGGCTGTGGCAATGCTCCGATGGAACTTTCGTCCTATTTTCAAGGCGGTGTCCTCTGGTATTTTCCCTTCATTAAGGAGCCAGTCTTGTATAGCTCGGGGAATCTGTGCTGCTGATCTGTTTCTCTCAACCTCTTCACTTGGGGCGAGGAACATGTTTGTGAGCATCAGTCTGCAGGCCTCGTTTACGTTCTGTACCCGATATTTCCAGAGGATTGCCAGGAGTTCACGTATCAGGGTTTCTCGTGCTTTTGTGGACTGTGGGCATCTGTACAGAATGTGCTCAAGGCTTTCATCTGCGTCATGCTTGCAGAGCTGACAGGTTGAATCCGGAAAGAGCCCTGGTCGGACAATTTTTAGTCGGTGGAAGGTGGGAACAGTACGTCCCAGCACCTGTACAAGGAATTCCGGAAGTAAGTAGTCTTTCCGCCCGTGCAGAATTGAGAATGTTGGTTCGTTCCACAGTCCTGGCTCAAAGAGGTACAGATGCCACTTTCCTTTCATGTGGTAGTTCAAACGTAGTTCCTTGTAAGTTTTCTGGTATAGAGGTAGTGCATTGTTTTCAAAGACAGGCTTACGCCTTTGTGGGCTTCTCTGTCTATTAGGACTGCTACTAGTGGTAGGTGGGATGTTTCTTCAGGGATTTCAGGGGTGATTGCACATGTGCTGAGTTTGGCCCGATAGTCTGCGACTTTGTTGTGTTCTTGGTGAACTTCATTGGTGTTGAGGCTGGCCGTTGTCCTGGCTGTCTGGGCTTGATCGTTTCCTTTGGTATCGCGCATGTGGGCCTTGACATGTATTATGTGGGTGTCACCGGAGCGCTGCTTGATTTTGTTCACGATTCTGAAGAGGAGGGATCTATCCTTGAGTTTTTGTACTTCGTATCGTTGGGGGGGGTCATCTCGGAATCGGTTAATCTGGTCGACCAGGGGTTTCCTGTCGCAATGAACCGTGAGATCTGTCTCTTGTCGTGCGAGCAGGAACGCGGCAAGGACTCCATATCCTTCCGCTCTGGCAATTGTTTGGCAGCCAGGTATCCGAGAGCTGATCTTTTTGTACGATTCTTCTGTCCCTTCCAATTCTGGGAAGTAGATCCCAAACCCGGCTCTGCTGCAGCCCTTTGTTGTACTGCCATCTGGGTATGCTGAGGTCACATTCAGAGTGTGCTTTTTATACATGCCCCAGTTATCAACCGTTTCTCGTTGTGGGTTCGGGACTATTGCTCGGGAGAAGGGAGCTAGCAGGCTTTCAAGATGGATCCGCAGTAATAGTTTTAGGAGTCGATTCTGGGCTCTGCTGGCCCCTGGTATTACAAGGTCGGGCTGTAGGATGCTGCAGGGGGGTTCAGGACTTCGGATCTGTAGCACTTCCGTGGCATCGAGTGTCCTGCGTCCTTTTTCATCTTCCCAAATTTCTCGGGGCTCAGTGGCAGAGTCCGTGTTCAAGTCTGCCAGGATTACTTCGAACAACGGGCATATGTCTTCGAGCTCATGTAAGCCGGCTGGCCAGTGTCAGGTTATGGAAGAGTCTGCTTGGGTACCGGAGAGGCCTTTGCAGACCAGCAGCCTTGTTCGGTGTTCGTAGGCGATTGGGGCCAGGGTGTGCCGGATCTTTCTGCTTGAGGGAGATCTGCTTTACTGTCAAAGAGGACTAATAGAGACATGTTTATCTTGTTCAGGTGTTTTCGTACGCCTCCGAAGAGTGGGGAGATATTGCTCTCAGGCCATTTGATCGAGCGGCCCATGTTTGAGAAGGGTTCGGTGCCGCCCACTGCTGCTCGGAGGTGGGTGTAGCTGATCTGGGAGGTGATGCGGCATGGAGCGTCAACTGTTTGGAGGGCAGACTGCATGAACTCTGCTCGAACACAGGCTTGCAGGGTAAACAGATTTTGGAGCCCTTGGTCGATCAAGAGGTCTGTAGCAGGGTCGATCTTGAGGCCTGCCAGACATTTCACTGTCTTGACCAGGGCCGTTTCGTATTTCTTAAGAGATTTTCTGGAGAAATGGATGAGGTACATGCGATATCTTAATTTACTTACCAAGTCTGAGTTGACATAGCTGATGGCCTCATGCAAAGAGATAGGTCGTTTTTGACGGCTGTAGAACAGTGCGCACGCTTAATTAAGCTTGTCAAGCATTGCTTTCTCTTGTTGTTTAAGGTCCAGGTTTATGTTGATATGATATCCCAGGTACTTATATGAGATGTTTCCATGCAGGACTGGGAAGATGCCATGAATGGACTTTCAAAGAAGACAAATTCTGAGATGATCTGAGATAGGTACGTCTTACGAAGAATGTGGTCGGTTGGCACCTCGTAGGGCAGGTTTACCACAACGATTGAAACAATTAACCCGGTAAGATTGGCCGGGGCAAGAATCCTCATTCCGAATTCATACATGCAGGGGACCTAGCTGAACACCTCACTCCTGGTCACTGATCAAAAGCATAGAAAAGCAATGGAGGAGCTTTCTACGTGGGCGTCTTATTTGAGCTGCCAATGAGCCAGCATTGTGTGGCTTGGCTAAGCAGAAGCTTTGGAAAGGACGGCGCTGAGTGGCATAGAACAACACACTTCTTCATAAGCGTTCTTTGAAGAGCTGCGTCATTGCAAAGACTGTCATGTTCATGCCCAGGTTCTTGAAACAAAGTTGTGGCCTACATTCTGAAACAGCCTTCACTTCTGCAAAGCAGTATCTTAATCTGGTCCTTGATTGGATACATTTGAGTCGATGCATACTGCATTTTTCTTGTTAAAGAACTGCAGTCTTCAAGGTGCATCTCGTTAGAATCCACGTCAGAAGTTTGGGGCCAGCATGAATCGAGGCCTTAAGCAGCAATCTGCTTAAGAGCACTCCTAGTCAAGGCCCCCTCAGGCTTCTTCAAGCCTAGCCAGCATTCCGCTCGGGCAGAGCTTCGAGCTTCGAGCTTCGAGCTTCGAGCTGCGGCAAACCTTGTAAGATACCTTTACCGGAAAAGGTGAATATTTACAAGCACATCTGAGGAGATTTGCTGCCCTGTTGCTTCATCAACGTTCTGCTCTTGATTTGTCCAGCAGCGGTTGAGCAACGACGAGAGCCGCTGCAGTGCTCGCAGAATGGGGTCAAGAATTTGGGCTCACCTAACAGCAGCGGCCACGAATGCAGTGGGTGCGGCAGCCAACATCTTTGCTATGGTTCCGGGGAATGAAGCACCAAACAAACATGGCGCTCATCACATGGTGGGCACAAAGGAGGGTAAGGACCTCCCCGTGATCTGCCGGGGATCTTATGAGTTTTGCGAGGGCTTTAAAAGACAAAGCCTGCTCTGATTTGTTTGAAATTATACCACTGGTCAACATTGCTGCAAGCAAACACTTGTACAGCAAATATCATGTACCGTACGGTATTTGTCTTCAGGTAAGCTGCCTAATCCTTGGTGGGCGCTAAGTCCAAGTGCATCATGCTGGTCTTTGATGCTGGTCTCTGATGCTGGTGTCTGAGACTTCGAATTTTTGGCCCTCCTCGAATGGACAGATTCTTATTCAGGCAAGTAAGAATCCAGCGGCTTAATGAATGGTCAGCACTATGATAATATGCTGAACTATTCTGGTCAACGTCCAGGGGCATCTTTGCCTGATCGCCCCGCTCGATTGAAGAGGACTCGTGCTGCTAGAGAAGGTGACAAGCAAGAACAGCCACGCAAGACGAAGAAGCGAAGGAAGTCCTCTGCAGCAGCAGCAGAACAAATGGGCGCCAGGACTGAAGGTAGTTGCTGCTGGTCTAGTTGCTGCTCTCGGGCCATTCTTGAGGCTAATTGCATTGGCTCATTATGTAAACGAAGGATGCTGAGATAGGAAGCAATTTTCAGAAGTGTTCTCAGTTTTTGGTGGCATTGAAGAGTGGAGACTGGCCTTAATCTTGTTAGTATGGACTCGACTCAGTGGTTGCTGCAGAGACTCAGGGCTGTCCCACGAGCAATGGGCTTGACTGCAAAGTGCAACCTCCCACTTCTTTGGAGCTTTGGGTCCTCTTCATACTTGAAACACCGGCTGTCTCTTTAAGATGAAAGAGACTTGAATGGTTCAAGATGTACTTCTTCGAGCTGTCTGATGCCTGAATGTCGGCAGCCCCAAGCGCTTGTGAAGCATTGGGCGGTCTTCTTCATCATCCCCTCCAAATCACTCTTTGCTGCTTCTGTGCCAGTAATGAGGGAGAAACATGTATCAACAGAGCAGCAAGTGGAGGTGGGAGGATCGGACGCGCATGCCGTCGTGCCTCAAGAAGAGTACACAGAGGTATGGACCCCATTCCCTGGAACATCTTACCACTGGGCACTGAGGTACGATCATCTTTTTTGAGAGTGGCGAGCGACCGGGACAAGAAGGAACTGCAATATGACAGCTGCATCAAAATCTGTTGCAAATGAAGGCATCTTCTTCAAAGTTCAATGATTGGACAACTTTGGAAGTAGACTTTGAATTGGTATTCTTCAGAATCATGATTTTCTGTTTGACAGCATTGTCATCTCTCCCTTGCCTCGTGGTATAAACATCATCATCTGGATTTTGTTCTGAGGTTCATATTTTGGAGCTTGTATAAAATCGGCCATCGTGGATCTAGGTTTTCAGCTCTTACCCGTCGAGGAAGCATTTGAGAATGTGCACTCTGCAAATCTAATTTCTCTGATGAGCTGGCCGCTTCAACTCCTGCCGCAATCAGGGTTGTTCGAAACGCATTCGCAAGTTTTGTTCCACTTTCTTTGTGACGTGACTCCTCTTTGAAATCTGCTTACCCTTAGATGGCACTGGACGTTTCCCTGGAGCCTTTCCTGCCACCCAAGAGCCACTATAGCCCTGCGGTGGCACTGTGGGAGCAAGTGGCAGCAGCAGAGATGGAGGCCTCCCAGGCGGTCCTCAATGCAAAGCATCTGCGAGAGGAGGCCGAGAGGGCAGAACGCGGAAAGGTTAGCAGATCTTCTGGCAAACAATGTTTGCGGAAGCTGTTAGGGAGCATTCGTTTCTGCCTCTCTAGATGGCGCAAAGTTTCACTATTGGCGTCAGTTCATATTGTTGAGGCAGCTGGCGGAGCACCACAACTAGAACAGTGACACTGTCAAAGGGCGTTTCAAATCAATTGTGGGTGACAAAGACATTGCATTGTCTTCACTGCAGCTTCATATGCATCAATAATAGAAGTAGCTTGTTTAGAACCTGGAATGCTGTCATCCGCAACGGCACTCTGGCAACTGCTGCTATAACCCCTCATTACAACATCACACATCATCATTACTGAAACGAAGCCTAACATGCATCATTTCCAGGACGTTCTCATTTCGAGATCAAGATAGTAGACACCCGATCTGTGGTCTTTGTAGGCAGGCCAAGCCCTTCAGGACACTCTGGTACTTGTTGTCGGCACTGGTCTTTTCCTCAAAATCATTTCTCCATCGCTGTGCAGGGTGACCTTCCAGCCCACGTAGCAGTACTCCCAAGCAGCTCGGGGACAGCAGGGCCTCTGGTGGACAAGGTGTCGACACCTATCCAGGCCACACCGCATCCTTCGGGAGTGGAGGCGTATTTGAATGGTGGCCTTATGACAAAACAGTTCAAACAACAGAGGCTAAACGCTGCGCAGGTATGCATCCCCCAAAAGCGCCTGGCTTTGAGTTTTCTCGATGCTCAGCTTTGCAACTTCACTCTTCGACTGCCATTCTCTGGTTCACATCGCACGCCGCGCTCTGTTTTCTCAGCGTATCGCGCTCCACTCTGCGCGCGAAGACCGGGCTGTTAGCATTACAGACTGACGGAGCTCGTGCAGAGGTGCCGTTAGCAAAGGCGCTCAGGGCCCTTGCCACATCGCAGTCGCCTTATCTCGTCTTCTTGCATACAGTTTCATCCTCTACTCGTCCTGTTTCTGTATCACTTTCTAAGTGCATGTCTCTGTCCACCATTGAAAGACATTTCCAGTTGGCTCCTCAAGTTATAGACCCTGAGACATTCTCACAAGGTTCAAGGGGACCCTCGAACGAAACGGACTTGTCCTCCATCCTATCCTTTCAAATACCTCAACGCACATTCCTCTGACCCCGTTGAATCACTTCTCTCCCTGTCCGCGCAGAAAGCAGGTCCGTCCGTGGTAGCAGCACCCCCCGTCTTCCAGTCCTGCAATCTAACAGGCAGCACGGCCCATGGAAAGCCCCAGCGCATTGCATGCCTGGGCCTGGAAGCCCCTCCGAACCCTCTTTGTCCCGACCTCGAGGCAGACCCGGAGGAAGACGGCAGCCTGACGTCAGCCTATGGCGGTGCGTTGGGATCGTCTGCAGACTTCACCGTCCCAAGTGACGGCCGCCGGCAGTACGGTCTGCGCAGCAGAGAGACTGATCGCAAGGGGAAAGCGAAGGTGCGGATGCGTTCTCGTTTCTGGGACTGTGCAGAACTGCAAGCTTGCTGAGTTCTGTTAGGTATCGACCAGTATTGTGAGGCCGCATTTGGAGGGTGGTCGGAAGCGGTTGCTTCTGCATTTTTAGAGTCAGAGGATGTTGTTGTAGTATCTGTTCCAAATTGTGTGAGTGCAGGGGCAGGGCTTGAGCAGGTACTTACTATGAACGGTGGATTCTCTTTCTGAAGGACTTGGCAGAGAAGTACCATCCACAAAGATCACTCGGATCTTGACGAAACTTGCGCCAATGTTTCTCTTTCGTCTAGACACTGAAAGACATCGAAAGCCCTGGGCTGACAACAAATGTTACTAGTAGACCAAGAGTGGTTCAAACACAAGAAGAGCTGGTCATTGGTAGAGGCCAGTCCCTTTTTATTCGGAAAAGTTGATGCTCGGGTAAACTTTTCATCTGCACATCTTGAGTCGCCACAAGTCACCAGAGCCAGAACGTTGACAAGATACAGTCCCACTATTTGAAGAGCTCAAGTACGAGTCTGACAATCATTTCGCCGTGGTTGTTCGCAGGTCTCTTGGGACGCTCCTTCCTCTTCTCATAATAGCACCGTCAATGAGGCGGGCCCCTCCGCAGTACCAGCAAACACCCCCGGTGAGCACAAAGACGGCCTTAAGCTGTCTGCGAAATATTTAACGAACGTGGATCACGTTGTAAGATTGTTATGAGTTGCTGATGAGATTGATGTTGCTTGGAAGGGCAATCTTGACGGGGGAGAATTTGCCAGGTAGTATTGGTTAGGCCTAAGTCCTTGAGTTGGCCAGGTCAATAGAGTTTGCCAGATGTCGTACAGAAATTAGCAGGCAGAATCAGACTCCGGTGCAAAGGACCTTCTTCCTCAAAAAGCGTTGGCTCAAAGGCCCTGCAGGTAGCGCTGCGCACAGCTCTCAGCCTCATAACCCGCATTGGCCACCATGTGTATCACCTCAAGCTTAGCCCGCGTCAACAGAAAAGTGCTCCATCCTCAAATAGCAGAGTCCTTCCATTCTGCTCACAGACAACCCTGACCTCTTCTTGCTAATCTCCCAGGGAACACGCTCGAGTACGATGACGTCATGAGCAGGGTCATGCCGGCCCACGCCCGCTTCAACCACGGTCCCAGCCGCCTGGTCCGCGTGACGAGGCGGCGGAAACCCGCCTTCTGGTATGCGGCGAAGGTGCTGCATCTTTCCCCCGAAACGCAGGCGGATCTCGCCCGCTTCCACGCGTGGCTTCGGAAGCCCCCACCTACGTGGCAAGGTGGGCCAAACTGCAAGGACTCGGCGGTCAAGATCGTGGATCGCATCCGGGGGATGCTGGGCTGGCTGAGTTACATCGCGAAGCTCACCAACGTGGCTGACGTCAGGCTGCGGGACTTGGTGCCGTCGGCTGACGTGGGCGGCGCAACGCTGGCTCACGAGCACGTCAAGTGGTTGGCGGACGAGCGGGCGGCAGTCGAGTCGACGCTGCAGTGCGTCTACCGGAGCCTGCTGCACCTCGCCATGTATCTGTACCACACGGAATCCAATGTGAGCCATGACAGCAGGAAGCATAAATGTGCTGCATGGCTTGTGGGGGCAGGTTCAGGTTCCAGTTCGTCATTGTATCCTTTTAAAGTGCATTCTTTTAAAGTGGCAAGTTATTGTACGAGGTTCAAGTGTTATGGAAGGGATGGGTTTGTTGTCCTTGACTGCTTGTCCTTGCAGCTGGGATTCATTTGGCAGGGGTCCGAGCTGTAGTAACGAATTTCTTGGCCCTGCTAACACCTCGGTCGGTCAAAGCAGGTGCGCCTGGCTATTGAGGTTCCTTTACCTTAACCCTGGTCTGCTTTGAGTCCTTATGAGAGGTCCTGTCGACCGCCGGATAGGCCTCTTCTGCCCGTCTCTGTTACGCCATCGACTCGGTGTCTTTCTCGCGCCAATAATCAAGCTGAAGCTCTCGAATCAGTCGACAACGTCCGACTTCAAGGGATGTTGCGTCAGACAAGGCAATGTCTGGATATTGTGCAGAATCGGATCTTAATATTCAAGACCGACTTCGAAGGAACAATTCGTTGCCGAGCTTCGAATGGCTGTGTCCATCTGAATATGCGTCTTTTTTGATCGTCTGTGTCAGCTACACCCGTTCGGCGGGCAGCCCCCGTACGGCGACGTTGCGGTGGTTGCCGTGCTCCGCAGCCACTCGGGCTTGCTGCAGCGCAAGGCCAAAAAGGCGCCCAAGGTGGCGGACCAGAAGGCCAAGCTCGTGGCGTGGCCCGTCATCGTGGGAGTGGTGCTCAAGGTACGGGTTCCGACCTCTTTAAGTTGAGGATGATCAGGCGCAGAGGTTTGGGGAGCGGAATGGGGCCCAACATGCGCTGTACTCTACAGGATGCTTGTCGGGCGTGGTGTGCGTAGGGCACAAAAACGGGGCATCCTCGCCGCTGGCCGCCAGGAATTTGTGGATCTCAAGGAACTTTAATCAGATGGCTGTCATTCTTGAAGCTCTGGAGTTGAATGGACATGGTCATGAGGTCTGCCCGACCTCCTAAATAAAGCGGAGTCGTGTGTGTTTTGTGTCGGATCCTGCTCTTCTGATACATTACGTCGCTTCCCGGTGTTGATCATTGTAAGTCGCTTGTTTACGAGCCCAACGGTATGCTCACTCTCTCAGCTTGCTTCCTTGCAGGAATTGCGGGCAGAATGTGCAGGACTGTATGAGAAGGGCTCCCCCAGAAAGGCCTTCACTGTTGCCAAGTCCGTCCAAAAGTACCTGATTGCGGCAATCCTCGCGTGCTGCGGGGACCGCCAGCGGACCATCCGCGAGCTCAAGGTCGGCGAGACCCTGATCAAAGAGAACGGCAGGTGAGCGAGGCATGCGCTGTTGCGCTCTGCAGCCATCACGGTTTCTGTGAATTTATGCTTGTATATCGAAGGGGGAGGGCTTCTGTAACTAGTGGGGCCATACTAGGATGTGGACCTTCAGAGTTTGTTTCAACCAACGCAGGCCAGTTCGATGCAGCCCGAAGTTACTTATCAGGAGACCCGTCAGACTTTCCCTGACTGCAAGCCCCCATTTTTCCGCCGCTGAGCCCAGGGAGCGTTCTGACTGCTCTAGGCTCTCTTTCGGACCCTTTTCCGCCACTCCTCTCCGCAGGTGGGTCATTTGCCTTCAGCCGAAGCACCACAAGACAGGCGGGTCCGGGGCCGAGCGGCCAAAGATTCCGCTCCCGACTTTCGTGTCCTCTGACATGGACGCGTACCTGGACACGTGGCGCGAATACCTGAGGCCAGAGCATAAGTTCGTATTCTGCTCCGCGACAGGCCGGCAGCTGAACGCCTCGGGCCTGTGCCATTCGTTCAGTGAGACCGTCTTCAGGTAAGGAGAAAGGAAGATCTGGTTACATGGGATGTAGTTTTGAAATTTTTGCAGGAAGCCAACGATTGATTACCGGGGTTGTTACTTATCTGCTTCTTGACTTCGTCCTCGGGGGTTGCCCTTGACTTCCGAGTCCGGAGCTTGGGGGAGAGTTTATTAATGCGATGGAGCGTGGGCGAAAGTCAAGGTTGGCAAAACAAGACGGTCTACCGTGACATGAAGGCAAACACGCAAAGCCGGGGTTGAAGCAACCACGCTGCCAATACCCTTAGCGGACGAACTCCAATATGACGCTTCACTAGATTGGTCCATGCTTCTTACGTCAGCAGCCGCATATGGAGCCTGCAAAGCTGATCTTGAGTCAACACTGCTTGCACGTATTCCCAGGCAAGTCGTTTATTGCACGGCCGCGAACGCATTTCGTCCACTTTCGAGGTTTCTTTCGTAGGACATGACACTTCGCGGACACTTCGCTGAGACTGACACCGCGCCGTTGGATGATGCAGGATCACGGGGCTGAAGATGAACCCGCACCTGGTGCGCACGTCAATCGTGATGCACTTCCGAGCGCAGGCTACGACCGACCGCGAGCTGGAGGCCCTGGCGCTGTGCATGGGCCACAGCGTGGCTGTGCAACGGACGACCTACGATCTGCGCAGCGTGGTAAGTTGTTCACGAGCAACTAGAAAGTGTCCGCCCTCTTTGAAGGTCTGCAGCCTTTTAAGAATGTCAAAGCTCGCAGGTCTTGTGTTTCTCGATGAGAAGGTATACTGGCATCGGGCCGCAGACCGGACGCCGGTGTTGCTTTGCTGGTAATGACACCATTTTGCTAAGCTTTAGGTGGGAATTCGGAAACACGTGGACTTTTTCTGGTGTGCTTGAGCCCTGCCCTAAGGCAGTAGAAGTTCACAGAATATTGCTGACAATTTGTCTCCCATCGTCGAGCGAAACGTCTACTATGGCAAACCTCAAAAGTCGATGCGAGCCTCTAGGACAAGTTGGGTCCTCTTCTTCGCATCAATTTGGGGCCAAAAATTTCCTCGCATGCAGCCGTTCTTTGGCTGTACGGACAAGACGAATCCTCCGCTTTTGGAAAGCGATTGTTTGTATAAGTTGTGAGTTTGTTTTCTGAGTGATATTTTCACGAAGTCGCTTTCGTTGCTCTGTCCTTCCAGGATGACAAAGCTGGTCCGGCATTGGCCATGGTTGAGGGCGCCTTCGAGAAACTCATGTGTATCTTTTGACATGAGTTATTTCCTGCGTTGCTCGCAACTTAGACGGGAGAGGCTTCACAACGAAGGCGAGACATACAAGCCGCTGCTCGCTAGAGTTAGACATTGCTTCTTTAGAAGATTTGTCTAACGAGCCAATGATTGGGAGCTCACCTGCAATACGCACTTGCGTAGGCCATGAATTACAGACCATCTACTAGTGAGTCCGGTTAAGAAGGCGTGCTCAACTCCCCCAGTTTGTGACCAGAGGCACACAAGATGTTGAAATGACGGAGTCTGCTCTTGAGCTGCATTCGTTTCAAGTGGTTGCAGCTACCGCAGGTAGGTGGGACTAGTCGAAAATTGGTATAAGGTGTGGCTTAACATCTAAATGAAAAGCAATATGAGAGATGGTCAATATTGCATTCAATGATTGTACATGTATATGCAACGCTTGAGAGCCTACAAGGCTCTTATACCAGTCTGCAATTTTTGTCATTTGGCGGTGCACGGATGAGTTCTATAGAGCATGTGAAAGAGATGCATAGGCTTTCGGCAGGACAATATTGACGAGTATAATTTGAACAAGCTTGATTGGAACACATTTAGTACAGATAGTATGTGTATACTTAAAGAGAAGCACACGGCCTGTTTGATTGAAGAGGATGAATGTTGATTACACTTTCAACATTGTTCGCAAACGCTGTCCATTGTACCAGTACCTTGTGTGCAAGCCCTTGTTTAAAGTAGGTGCCACTACCGTCATGCATGGGTCCTACACTATATATCGATCGGTAAGTAGGTAGGTACGGTCATAAGCTCTTTGATCCGTCTTGTTTCAAAGCTAAAGGACCATGATTGTGACTCGGACGGCAGAAGTTTGCGCAGAATGAAGTGCAATGCCATCCGCTACTTCAAATCCATCACGTTTCATAAAAGCTACATGGCTCCTTGACGACATGTGACCGACCTAGAGTGCATCACATCGAGTCAGAGACTGGATGAAAGAAAATCATGTTGGAATAGCACCATAGTAGATTGGACGAGACTGAATCATGTTGGAAAGAGAAGGACGGATTGCACAAAGTCCATTAGACCAAATGTTATGTAATTGCATCTTCGCCCCCTACGCTCTGCCTCGGCCGTGGGAGCCCCCACGTCCGCAGCCAAGACCGCCCCCCCGCCCCGTCCTTCGACTTTATCCTCGCCGCCCCCGCCTTCCCATACTTCACTCTCGCCCGAAACTGCTGTACGCACTTCGCCGCGAGTCACCTGGTACCACACGCTGCAGTGCGCCTTGCGCGTGTAGTCCTCGTTCGTGGCGAGGACTTCGTACAGCTCCGCAAGCGCGGCTTGCTGGGCGGACTGATCGGAGATGGAGAGCACCATGGCCTCCGTCTCGTGGAGCAGACCGGTCAGGCCCTGCGGGGAGAGGGCGAGTTCTAAGAAAGTGTGGGAATCCAGAGCCCAAATGGGCTCTGGCAACTTCAGCATGACTAATAGGTGGTTGTCTTTCTGCTGAGCGGGAGGAGCGAAGAAAGCTGGCTCGAGCGGTATAGAAGTTCGCATACATCCTCGTACGCAGAATCCGGGAGTAGCACTTAGGATGACGCAGTCGGCATTCAACGGCATGCAAGGCTGAGCTCCGCGGTGGAAACCAATATTTATTTTGGGAGGCGCATTGTTCCATCAAAAACAATCGAGCGATGCCGGTTGCAGGTTGCCAAGAGCAGACTCAAACTGCATCAATACGTTACTTTGCATTTTGGACACCACAGATGGACTTGAGAATCCGATTGTTGGCGGTCTCCTCTTGGAGCATATAACCTGCGCCCAATGAAGCAGCGGCAAGTGGAATGGAACTCATAGCATTTCAAGCCTTGGTCGGATTTCGTGTCCCAGGTTTAGGCTGGAACCGAGTAGCGCCGAGTTGGTTTACCACTGAAATCAGACCCAAACCGCGTAAAATCGGCCGTAAACCCACTGGTCCACTGAAGTTCACCTCAATCTAGGGTACCGCGCAGCCTGAGGTAGGTACCTTGTACTTTGGTAGTACCGTGGCCAGTTTTGCTTGGGCCCATCACAGCGCGAATTGGGATTTGGTAGTATGGCACCAAATCCCAATTCGCGCTGTGATAGGCCCACTGTGTCAGATCAGTATTTTAAGAATTGTACTTTCTGACAGTCTGCGCAGGCCTGAGCAAGCAGGATTGAATCCGGGTGACCGCCGCGATCGGTGAATTTTGATAAATTCACCGATACGATAAAAATTACACTTAATATTGCCGAACATCGACGGCGCGTGAGCTAAATTTTAACACGCGCCGGAGTTCAAACGCCGCGGTGTCAGACTCGGCGGTTAATAATATTTTGTCGCTTGTCAACGTATCGCGCGGCGGGGCACTCGTGACATCATGCGTATCTGATATGCAGGTATGTCAGAATCTGTCAGATTCTGGTCGGGTGACATGCAAATTTAATACTATTGATGTACTGTCAGACTGCGGCATACTATTAAATCACTGTGTAGAATGAAAATGTAGGCCCCGTACGGGCACGGTAGCACTGAGCGGGACCGCCCTAGACCTGGCTGGGACCGGGCGATATAGCGCGGGGTCCGGCCGGAGTCTGCACTGTAGTGCAACTGTTGACTGCGGCAGCCCCCAAAGCGTGAACTCCCGCAATTTTAGGGCACACTTTGGTACAAGCTTTCGAAGGTAGGCTTGAAATGCTATGGTATCATTGAACCGCTAGCAACGACTTTACCGTAGAAGTCTATAGCGGACCGTATTCCCACCTGGATATCTACAACGGGGATCAGGTGCACCAGCAGCCGCGTCAGCTGCCCCCCCGCACTCCCTTCTTGCGGCCCCTTT